TTCCCTTCCCTTCTCTTCTCTTCTCTCTCCTTTCCTTATTCTTGTTACTTAGCATACATGGATCATATTTTATCGATCTCAGCAACGTACCACGTCACCCATCCCCTCCCCCCCCCCCCCCCCACACCTCCCCCATCATCTCTCTTCGCCCATTCATTCCCTTTCAAAATACAGAAAAGAATCAATCACCTATCAGTACAGCCCTAGACCTGTACTCCCCACCACACCCCTCCCCTTTTCCTTGTTTCTCGCGCCCCATTCTCCTCTTCTTATTTAAAAAATAAACACACGCTCAGTAAACATTTATTTATTTACGTTCTATTATCCCACCCCCCTCTCATTCTTATCTTTACCTTTCCTGAGACCAATTAAAGCCATTAAGTCATCTATTAAGGGTCTTAACGACTCTCTAAATAAATGACCTCTATTCTTATCTCTGGCTTCTTTCTCGCCCTTGATCACCATTATTTATAGACATATGGAATTTTAATCATGACCTTAAGTGCACTTTAGATAAATGCTTCTTATTTTTGCACGCTCGCTCCCGCGCTTACGTCCTTGTTTGCGCCTTGCTATTTCTTTAGTATCATTGGACTTTTCCCCCTATTTTGCTGTCTCAATAACACAGGGAACTGTAGTGCAAACATTACTATCTAACTAGTAATGTTTAGTCTGGTAAAAGCATAAAAATGCAAGTCAACGTGTGATTAATAATTAGACCAGCAGCTCGATTAGTCTACGAGTCAATAGCCTATGAGGCCCAAAGCCGAATGGACTATTTATTTGAATACCATTCGGTCAAATAAATGGATACAAACAATTTTAAAACCTTGTGGTCTATCACTAATAGACTACTAGTAGCTCAGCCAATCAGAGTGCAGGATTTGTGTTAGAAAACAATGGAAATGAGATCTTACTATTTCACGGGTTGAATAAAACCACTCTAGTGCAATAAAGCCACTCTAGTGCAATAAAACCACTCTAGTGCAATAAAACCACTCTAGTGCAATAAAACCACTCTAGTGCAAATATATATTTAGCTCTTTATGAGAAAAGAATCCTTCTAAAGATAGACCTTTCTAAATAAAAGTCATAGATCTCTTGGTGATTTCAAATCTGTTTGTATTTTTAGACCCGGCGGAGCTGTGACGCAAACCTCATCAAAAGAACACAAGGACAACATCAAAATATCTGACTCCAAAAACAGCTCACCTCTATCTAATAGCCTAGACCTTGACATAACACTTGAAGATAAGGAAGAGGTATGTATGAAACACCTACATCAACTGTTTGCCTAATAAGGTTATGCTTCTAATATTCACATATGATTATTTGTGGTTTGAAATAGCTAGTGTGTAAAAGAAATTGTGGTCTGCGCGGGAACTCTTCTACTTTCGTCTCATCTCTCCTCTCGTTTCGTCCCGTCTCGTCTCTTGTCATTTGTTGTCTCTCCTCTCGTCTTGTGTCCTCTCCTCTCCTCTCGTGTAATGTCGGTTCCTCTCCTCTCCTCTCCTCTCCTTTTATACCTTCTTCGTTATTTGTAGGACCATATCTAAAAATAATATATAAAAGCTTCGTCATGTTGCATTCAAATCTCACTCCCACAATTCTGTCCACCTCGAGGTCATTCAATTATATCTAAGACCAAACTAACTGCTAATCTAACATAACTATTAAAATAGAAACTACATAAAAAATAAATCTTAGAAATCTCTAAAACTTGAAATTAAATAAAGTTTAAATGATAAAGGGTGTATATTTTTGTTTCTTCAGAGCGAATTGTATTGGGGGGATGGGGAGGGGGGAGGGGGGAAGCCGTCCTAGTTAACCAGGGTAAAATGTCATTTTGACATTTCTCACTACCCTTAGTTCCTGTCCAAGAGGAAAGTGGTTAAAGCGCATGGTCTAAAACAAGGAGGCCCGGATGGATTTTCCCCCAAGAAATTAGCTTTGAAGAAACACATTTACATTTTCATTAATAAATAAAAATAATACCACACCACAAAAAAAAACACCTTTATAAAATAAAATAAATAATAAAATAAATGTCATCAATATAAAAAAGGGTCTTATAGAGCACAATTTCACCCTTGTATTGTTTAAATATGTAAAGGAGTGGTTCCGCCGCAGCCAAACGTTTGGTTTCGATAGAGTGGAATTACTACGGAAATAGAATTATTTTATTTTTTCATTTTCGTGTAAGCAAAAAATGGTATATCTTACATTATACCAGCTTTCGAGATAACATCCTACGCAGACGCTTTTAGGTCGTCACGCAATGCTTCGTAATGCTTACTATCAATCACGTGACATTTTGGAGTTGACTGGGTGGCAAACAAGCGGTTGACTGGGGGCAACTAGCGGATGCTAAGTCAAAACATATCAAAATAAGTCCTCAAACTATTGTATTTGACTATTTTCACGACATCAAACCCGAAAACAAGAGATCAAAACAACCTCCAGAATTCTACAAGCCATCAAAAAAGAGCTATTACCGGAAGTGACGTCTATTGATATCAACCTATGTAGAGAAACGTTAAATGACATGACTACCCTAAGACTACCCTGCGTTGTAGTATTAGCCACTCCTCAAATTTAAGGGGGAATGAGTTGATTTGACAATGTATAGCATTGTGGGAGAGTTTTTTTCCCCAGATAGTGTCTATATTTCGTTCCCTAAAACAGTCCCGTCATACCTTGCAATATCAACTCATCCCAACCTTGAAATAACTAATCAAGATTGAAAAATCTGGATTAAAAGGGATAAAGGACGTCTCGCATTAAAATCATGGTCGATACTGCTTTCTTATAAGCTAAAGTAAAAAAAAAATTTATAACGTCACGCACTCGACACGGTCACGGTACCGAAATATCCCTTCGACCAATCATAGAGCGGGATGACTTTGCATACAACAAATCAATAGCAAGGAAATAGGAATGTTTTAAATTTCGGACGGTAACTGGAAATAGTTGGTAAGAAATGTTCGGGATTGTGTTACGCGAGTTTTAAGATTAGTTAGTTGATACTTGATCTCAAAGGTCACGCATACCGCTGAAGGACGCGTCATATATCTTGATGCTATAAATAATAACCCATTCACTCCGCACCTCTTTTTCTGTACTCAAATGCCTTCAGTTCCTGTCTCGATTCACATCTTTTGAATTCCTTACACACAGCACCTCGTGTCTATAAAAACGATGAAATAACACTTTATCTTCCTTCCTACTACACCATGCTTACTCTACTGTTTGCCGTAAGTTTTGTCTCTTTATCTAATTGATTATATCTTTGTTATTATATATATACATTTATTTACTTATTTACTTGATTGCCGGTAAGGCTGTTGCTATTTTTACTGACTTGATTGATCCTTAGTAAAGTGTCTCCATCAATGATACAAACGGAATCCCCTGTCTTGCTATTAAACAACCTTTTAATCTTCAATTGTGTGTAGCAGTTAGCGATAAGAAGCTTCGCATGATTCATTTATTTATTTATCAGTTATTGGCTGTTGTTTCTCGTGTTTATTCAGAAGTATCTTGAAGCAGTTTAAAGTGAGGAATCTTATACTTTACAATATTCATTGAGGCGCGTGTCAACTTAACCCCTGTGTCACTTGCATAACTCTCTTCTACTACGACATACTCCATGGTACAGCCACTTATCTACTTAAAACAGCTTTGTTTTAAAAATCTTTATATACCTGAAAGCTATTTTCCTTGGTATACAATAAAAGCCGGCCAGGATTTAAATCTAATCGTTACGCCGAATAGTATAGCTATTTATTCCAAATATACAACAGAAGGTAGCTCGTATTGTGTGGCGCTAAACTGAACGGTTCTGAAGCTAAAATATTCCAGTAATCTTGCGTATTTTATTTGATGGCTCATTGACGGCAACACCAAGTAAGATTCCATAAACATCATTTAGTCATGCCCTTCATAGCTATATATTTATCTTGGTACTCGACTTTTGATCCAATTCTATATCCGTCTGTCCGCGATATTTTTAGATCTGAAAATCGCCAAGAGCCTGTACGTCATTTGAGTTACTCAGACGATGTTTTTAGGTTGGCTGCCCAAAATATGTTCAAAATGTGATTCACGAGCATTAGCTAAACAATTGTAAAGTTTTTGGGCGCTCGAATTTATTTCTGTCCATAAGCATCCTTCGGGAATCTTTGAAAAGCGCATTTGAAAATGTATATTGAATTTGCGCTTTACAAATAAATTTATTCTTATTCTTATTCTTATTCTTATTCTTATTCTTATTCTTATTCTTATTCTTATTCTTATTCTTATTCTTATTCTTATTCTTATTCTTATTC